GGAGCGGTAAAAAACGTAGACCAGTCACAGTACACTTCCAGATCTGGGAAGTGCATTTTGGACCTTGTGAAATTTCGCGCGAGACTCAGCCCCAGAAAAGATCACAAACGTCTCTAAAAGTGTATACTTTTACAACAAACTACTCAGTTAACTCACACGCCTTCGTACTAGAGACCGCCCTCGCGATCTCATTGAAAAATTATCTCGGAGGTGTAATTTCCTGAACGAAAGTCAGCTTTACTACAAAACAATAAAGTGCGAAAAAAACTGATTCTGTCTTTTGTTCAGTCAAAATCGGTACAGCTCCGCCGTTGCCTCACCCACGGAACAACTTTATTAGCAAATGACATCTAATCCAGCCTTTACAAAGAGAAATATACAAAACGCCAACGCTTATCTCCTAAATATTCTTGTCCGGAGCTAAACTCTTTGGTCACGTATCACACTCTACACGAGCAACCTGGCTCGTTCTCAAGGTTCTCTTCTACCCGTCCCTCTCTCTCGCTCTGCATTAGCCTGCGTAGCAGGCGTCGAAAAGGGTAGGGGGTAGGGGATAGGGAGGAAGGGAAAAAGCGGACGGGGATTCGGGAGAGGGGGAGGGGACGCCTGTTCTAAGAACCCCCTTTTGTTCATATCTGCGGACGCTGGCGTCCGCAAATTCCTGATTGGCTGAGCCGTAATGAGTAACATATTGAAATGCGCGTTTCACAAATCAACAAACAGTCGAGATGGCAGCGGTAGACGTGGATGTCGTAGGGAGTGCTTTGAGAGATGTGAGTTTATCTAGTGGTAGAGAAACTGTTTTAAAACCAGAGCAAGAATCAGCAGTAAGGGCTCTTTTAGCCGACAGAGATGTTCTGGCGGTTTTGCGGACCGGATACGGCAAGAGTTTAATTTATCAAATGTTTGTACGCGCGAAGAACTACGAGCTAAATGGTAATGCGGCGATTCTCGTCATTTCGCCACTGAAAAGTATTATCGAAGACCAGTTGCAGGAGATGGAATTGTTGGGCTTATAGAGCTTATTTAAGGGATTAGGCGCCCATCCAGCGAAAGATTTAGCCAATTTATCGAACGATGACATTCGCCGATGTAACTAAGCAATAAAAGAGGGTGGTTTTACCTCATGCCAAAATGCTGCTTATATCCAATAAAGTTGTTTTTATCTGCTGGGTAGATTATGCTCTGGAAGGTTCTGCATTTATACTGAGCAAATGTTATTTAAGCCGCATGTTTCACACTGAGAGGTCATGACATACATATCGATTGACTGTAGTTATTGTTTTCTGGTCGGCAGCATTTGCCCTCTGATGCAAGCGCAATTTCTTTGACCTCTTTTGAAGCGTAAAGCTTTTTTTATTACGGCTGAATAAGGGTTTCAATTTTCTCCAAAGTGCCTTCTGGATCTGAATAACTAAACGAATTTCTTTAGTCCGTGAGTGTAATGTTTTTCTGCAATGGCGAGTGTAGCGACACTTGATTGACAGTAAGCGTAATCGGATTACTAGAAAATTGGTAGGCGTTATGCAAAAACATAGGCTCTTAGAGCAGGCGCTCCCTTTCTCCCTCCCCCTCCCCTTTTTGCGCCTGCCACGCAGGCTATAGATTCATAAAGATCCCATTGGGCTAATTAATCGTGCTAAGCGACAGGTATAGACATTTTTCAAGGTGTGACTTTAATTAAGTAATTTATTTATTCACACGAAACTCCTCTGGACCCTGTGGTACGGCCGCACATTTAATAACATTTAATAGCATTTTAATACAAGTAGCCGTTTGAAACCAAAGTTTAATTGTAACCTTTCTTTATTTTTATCTGGTATGAATAGCTGAAGTGCAGAATTTCAGAGGTGTATTAACTTGTATTAGAATTTAAGCGGTTGTCGTAGCTTTTTTTGTAAATTATATACATACTGATTTCAAATATTGTGACATCAATAGTGATGAAAAAGACTGTATTTGAATTAGTTGCCTATTACCCATAGAACATAGAGTTTATTAGGTTTTTAATGAGCTCCTCAAACATTTTTAGATTTGCATTTAGTATCATGAAATGATTATAATTCCGGTTATAAGTTTTGCATGGGTTTATACATTAAGAGGTTTTGCGAGTGGCCTTATATCCTGAGGACTTTTCAGCGGATTAAAAAAAACGTTTCGTAACAAGCTGGCAACAAAACATACTTTATTTCACTACAAGAAAATACCGGTACCTCAAAAATATATTATAAACTGTGAGCAACAAATAACAAGACGCATATCTGATATATGAATAAATATGGACCTATAACTAGAGGTTTCAAATTCTGAGTATGCTGCGAACAGATGCTGGGCAGTTGTTAACAGGCCTTTGGTCGAGCGGGGTGGGGAGAGGGAAAAGCGAAAAGGCCTGTAGACAAACATTTGGGACCGCCGTTCCACGGTACCCGCTATGCATCAGATCCTGATGCAAGCTCCTATTGGCGAGAACACTGACTGTTGACTGGTCTGATTGACATCGGCTTTTCGTTCGGCACGTAGCACGCGATTTGATCACAGAGTGGCAATAACAAAACAGTCCAAAGACTATACAAGGGGAGGAACTACGCGCTCCGGTCAAAAGACTCAAACTGTCTTTAAAAAAACCCTAAGCTGGAGTTTATAGTTACCGAAGCACAATGCAATTCTCCATAGCTGATGTAACTTCGGTTTAAGCTGCACTTAAATCTTATAATTTTGGATCTGTAAATAACTATTCGTGATAATTTTTGAACAGTCTGCAAAGAAAACGAAAGAGCTGGGCCCAGCGTCAGAATACAACATTGCACAAAAACATTACATTCACGGACTAAAGAAAATCGCTTACTTATTCAGACCGAGAAGGCACTTTGGAGAAAAGTAAGACCCTTATTCAGCCGCAATAAAAAGCTTTACGCTTCAAAAGGGGGCAAAGAAAATGCTCTTGCATCAGAGGGCAAATCGCGTCGACCAGAAACAAAAACCACAGTAAATCGATGTGTGCTATGACCTCTCAGTGTGAAACAAGCGGCTAAAATCACATTTGCTCTGTGAAAATGCAGAACCTTCCAGAGAAAAACCAACCCTGCAGAGGAAAAAAACTTATGGGAACAAGCAGCATTTTGGCATAAAGTAAAAGTCGTGTCGGCCTACCACCCCCTTTTATTGCTATAAATACCTGAAGGTGTAATAGGCCATTTGCACTAAGAGGTCATGTGACATTGTTTTATGAAAATGAAAGTTATGTGGTTTTTTCTTCAAAAACGATTAGTGGGTCTTATTTTTAACAAAATAATAGTGATTTGGTTTTTCAAACCTGCACCATTTTCTTAAAATGAGTGAGTTCGTAGTTGGTCACGTGACCAAAATGTAATTTTTAAAATTATGAATTACCTCTTTCTGAACACAAATTTTGCACTTAAACTTCAAGGAAAATATTGAAAAGTTGATGTGGGAATGTTTACAGCACATCTGAGCGTAACTATCAAACGTTTAACAAGATCTAAGCAAAAAGTAGTTTTGGCCGCCATGTTGGAGGGCAAGAGTATGCCCTCCAACATGGCGGCCAATACAAATGATACTACTTTGTTGAAAAATCAAAGTGCCATAAAATATCTCCCTTAAATGCGTTTCCTCTCAAATTTCGGGTGTAAGATAAATTTTACGCGCTCTGTCAATTTTTGGCATCAGCAAGATTCCAACTCATTGTTTAAAGGAAGCATTAGTCACGTGACCTCTTAGTGCAAGTGGCCTATTCCATTTGGCGATCGAAGCGCTGCTGATCTCTTTGTACTTGTCTTCGAAGATTCACGTTCTGGAGAAGTTATGATAGTATCTGTACCTTCCGCATTTCAAGTTCGCTTATTTCAGCGGCTTGTTAAATTACAAACCGAACTAGCAAGACGAACGGCTTATTAATTCTCTTACCGGAAATCAACGACTTTTTGCAAAATCGACAATGAGGTTCGTGCTCCATTTTACTCTGTTTTCAGACGGAGCAAAGCACGGCTCATTTCCTGTTAATTTTCCCAGGAGTTACTCACGCGCGAAATTGATTGACCGATAGCGATCTTACTGACAGATGATCGGCAGGATAACTACAAGAGGGCGGAATAGCGGCCTCAAATGTTTGTCTACAGGCTCTCTCCCCCCCTTTCCCTTCCCTTTCTTCGCTATTTTTCCCCAAACAGAGAGCCTGTTCACAGGCTAGGGCAGTAACACCAGTAACTTGGAACATCAAGATTACTTAACTGAAAATAATAGGCGCCGCTAAGATCCCGGTGGAAGCGGTCCAGTTTTCAGTCGGAAAACTCTTTGCTGTTTTGTTGATAAGGAGTACATCTGTGAAAGTGGCCTGTTTGAACAACGAACAGCTTACTTTATCCCGTGATAATCCGAAGACCTTTATTTTGCTTTAAAGATACAAAAAATACAGGTTATTTAATATTTAACGTTTTGGAACAAAAGAAATTAATTTTTAACTTTTTTGACAACCGTATCTGAAAAAAATTAACCGATAGCCGTAAAAGAGCCAAAATTTTAGCCGATAACCGTGAAAGCCACCACCCCATTCTGACCCTCATTAAATTGAACGGAACATTTCTATTTGATAGCCTGTAACAAAAGTCATTATAGTAACAATGGTCTCTATTCTGACTCTATCGCCATCTTGAATTATCAAATGCTAATCTGCATAGACGAACTGGAAGGCTCCCACCATCAAGACGCAACCGACAATGCATGTGATGTACGAGAACGTTTTGGGCCCTCCTGCAAACCAGTGATTCCTGGTGACGTCCGCAATGGCTGGGCAGACTTCGCCCTAAGTTACTGGACTGTTAGAAGATTGAAATAGATTAACATGAGGCTCTTTGAAACGAATCAAAGCCCAGACAGCTGCAATACCACCACAGAAAAAGGGTAATTGCAACCATATAAATAATATGGTCCCTGCATACGATTTTGTCAAATTTAATGTGCCAGTATTTGCGTTCAACGGCCTTGTACCAGCTTGCTGAGTCGGCCACAGAAGGAATAGATGCCTTGGATAACGTGAAACGTCCTTTCCTCGCAAAAGTAAGACGAATAGACTCGCCTCTATAATCCACAAGTCTAACGTTGTCCTTAATGTCCTGACAGATCCGTGACACTTTCAAGTAAGAGAGCGCATCCGAGTCGGAAGTAACCGTTATGTCAAGCTGCGTCTTTGAGATGTCTTTAGGAGGGATAAACTGAAACACACTTGTATTCCGTTCATTTATTTCGATTATTTCATTTATTCCATTGTTTTGAGATGCTTCTACTGCCACTCCGGGTGTTTCCGACAGCGTGAGGCGTTTTTCCATCGATTCATCTCTTGAATGAGAAGGACAGAACGACAGACTTCTCCACTGCTCGCCAAGTGAAGATTCTGAAATGTCCATGTGACCCTCAAGGAAGGTGTTGCCTCTGCCCTAGACTGATAGGTGAAGAAACCTGTCAAAGACGAACAGTAATCCATCATATAAATACTAAATTGGAAGTATTTGCTTCATCGAAAGGATACTGACTTGCAAAAGCTCGATACCACACTGCACAGTTTTTAGCGTTATACCAAATCTGGTAACTTTAGGGGATGAGATACTGCCCGAGGAATCGATCATGCTGTTTCAGCAGCCTTTCATTGAGCTCTTGTATCAAGTCGTGATCTACTAGAAGTAAGCACAGTGCTCTTCGCCAGTACTGTTTGGATGTGCTGATTTGCTGTCACGCGATCGGGCGCGTTATTCTCGGATCATTATGTTCCACTCCGCTGTCATTTCTTTGGCTGTTTCAAACAGCCCGTCCCACACAATGTCGTCATCTCGCTCCTCTCGTGGTACATTGATCACAACCCGAGATTCGTTTGCTGCTTCAATCAGGTCTAGGTTTTTGCGCTGAGCATGTTCATGACAGAGCAACTGTCTAGTTTGTATGAGACTAAATATGCTCTGTTGCACAGAGGCATATTATAAAATCAAACAGTCTTATTGACCATAGATAACTCCTTGCCCTACTTTCCAAAGCCTGCACGACAACGCTAAATGCTGTACGAAAGGTGAACAGAGATCTGCCCTGCTCCCTCAACGAGTCTCACAAGGCACAATCCTTTGTTTTTTGTTCTCAAATTGTGACTAAATAAATCAAAGTGACGTTTCTACTGGTCAGTAAGTTTAAAATAATAGGAATGGTATTGAAGGTTTGCACAGTCAAGTCCAAAAAATGCGAAAAAAAAAAAAAACATATATATGAGACACAGAAGTCTGACAGGCCTCAGTCTGGCTTCATAACCACTATGAATTCGTATTCATGATTACCATGAATTAAGCAAGATTTAGTCATAGAACAAAAGAGTTTGTCGGCTCGAATGTTGAACATGTTTAGGTCTGTGTTCAGTAGTTGGACATCGAAAAAGTTAATGTTAGTTGTACTTGCGTCCTTTAAGAGGATGTTCTTATAATTTTTTATGCTCTCTTTTAAACCATTTTAACTTTGTTTTGCTCTTTAGTGTTGTCTTTCTGATTTATCTGTTATATTTAACTGTATAATATCTTTATCTGCACTGGGAACTTATTTGTGTAAAATCTAAAAATCTAAAAACAGGCCTAGGTGGTGTAGTTTTCTCGTGTGACGAAAACTTGCATAAAGGCCGTAATTAAATGGAATGAAATTAAATCAAGGCTATTGAAATGTGTTACCTTGCATGGACTCATTTTTAATAGCAGGATTCAAAGCGACATTATCTGTAGAACGATTGCAAGAAAGATTCGGGCTTGCGAGACCAGTAAGATGTGCGCGTTATTGACCAAGCATGAGATCAAGATGACTTCAAATTGCCAAGTTCTTTTTCTTGCGTCTTTATTGACCGAGTTGCGAAGTCATGGTCCATAGAAATGTGTTGTTCCAGAAAATGTCCCTACCCCCAACACGGACACTTTTGCTTCAAACCCCTTCCAATTCCAGGGGGTGCTTGTCATAACCCATTAGCCGTTGGAATTTCCGTGATTTTTCATCTTGGTTGGGTACCATCTGGAGAGAATATTTCCCTTTAAAATGCTGTTGTTCTATACTTGCGAAATATAATTGTTTCTGCGATAAAGTGAGAAAAAAATCTCTGTAATAATGTTAATTGATACATATTTGGTCTTTCTTAGCTAATAACTAATAGTAAGCCACTTGCATAATCAGAAGTTGGTTTCAGGAGAAAACTTTTATTCAGTGTATGTTGTCATGAGCAAATAGCGGAACATTATGCTCTCTTGGCGTGTCACCTTTTCAATAATCTGCATTGTTTGTTTTAAAGGTGATGGTACATGGGACGATTCGCAACGACGATTTTTTGCGCAACACAGCGTTGCAATATTGGAACAATGTTGCTACCATTTGAATCAATGTCGCAACAATGTTGTAACGCTGTGTTGCGCTAAAAATCGTCGTTGCGAATCGTCCCGCGTAACATCACCTTAAGGCAGTCGCGCGTGGACTTGATGACATTTCAAAAAATCGATTGAAATGTGCGGACGTTCCAGGGATTAGACTTCCGTTTAATTACAACCTTTATTGTAAAAATTACCTGACGGAAAGTAGAGACCTTTAGATTCGAGGACGAGGACGACCACGAGTACGAGATTTTCGCTTCTTCTCAAAATATAGACTTCCCAGAAAGCTTCATTTTACCATTTTTCTTTAGAAAAGTTAGCATTGTTATCTTTAGTGAAGGAGGTTACGCGCTCTCCCGATCGCAAAATGATAAAACTTCTAACATTTGATAACTTGTTTTCGTCATCACGACATTCGCGCGAAAACTCGTAGTAGAATGACGACGGCTACCACGTTTTCCCGTCAAAATAACGCTGGCTCACGCGTGAGCAATACTTAGTATTGAGAAAATCTCGTACTCGTAGTCGTACTCGTCTTAGAATCTAAAGCTCTCTATTTACTTATACCGGCCAACGCCCCACGATTTCCTCTCTGTCCCACAATTCTCTCTTGTTTCCATACAGTCCTCCTTTTTTTTCTTATGTTAATTATGTTGAAAAAAAGAAACAGTGAAACCTCTATTAAGCGGACCCCCAGTTAAGCGATAACCCTCTATTAAGCGGACACTAAGCCGGGTCCCGAAATTAACGTCTTTTATTATTCATTCAAAATATTTCCCCAATTCTGATTGGCTAAAAGCACACGCATAATTCACCATAACCAGTTACTGATGACCAAATTTGGAAGAATTTTGTGTTTAACGATAATAGATGCCTTGGATAACGTGAAACGTCCTTTCCTCGCAAAAGTAAGACGAATAGACTCGCCTCTATAATCCACAAGTCTAACGTTGTCCTTAATGTCCTGACAGATCCGTGACACTTTCAAGTAAGAGAGCGCATCCGAGTCGGAAGTAACCGTTATGTCAAGCTGCGTCTTTGAGATGTCTTTAGGAGGGATAAACTGAAACACACTTGTATTCCGTTCATTTATTTCGATTATTTCATTTATTCCATTGTTTTGAGATGCTTCTACTGCCACTCCGGGTGTTTCCGACAGCGTGAGGCGTTTTTCCATCGATTCATCTCTTGAATGAGAAGGACAGAACGACAGACTTCTCCACTGCTCGCCAAGTGAAGATTCTGAAATGTCCATGTGACCCTCAAGGAAGGTGTTGCCTCTGCCCTAGACTGATAGGTGAAGAAACCTGTCAAAGACGAACAGTAATCCATCATATAAATACTAAATTGGAAGTATTTGCTTCATCGAAAGGATACTGACTTGCAAAAGCTCGATACCACACTGCACAGTTTTTAGCGTTATACCAAATCTGGTAACTTTAGGGGATGAGATACTGCCCGAGGAATCGATCATGCTGTTTCAGCAGCCTTTCATTGAGCTCTTGTATCAAGTCGTGATCTACTAGAAGTAAGCACAGTGCTCTTCGCCAGTACTGTTTGGATGTGCTGATTTGCTGTCACGCGATCGGGCGCGTTATTCTCGGATCATTATGTTCCACTCCGCTGTCATTTCTTTGGCTGTTTCAAACAGCCCGTCCCACACAATGTCGTCATCTCGCTCCTCTCGTGGTACATTGATCACAACCCGAGATTCGTTTGCTGCTTCAATCAGGTCTAGGTTTTTGCGCTGAGCATGTTCATGACAGAGCAACTGTCTAGTTTGTATGAGACTAAATATGCTCTGTTGCACAGAGGCATATTATAAAATCAAACAGTCTTATTGACCATAGATAACTCCTTGCCCTACTTTCCAAAGCCTGCACGACAACGCTAAATGCTGTACGAAAGGTGAACAGAGATCTGCCCTGCTCCCTCAACGAGTCTCACAAGGCACAATCCTTTGTTTTTTGTTCTCAAATTGTGACTAAATAAATCAAAGTGACGTTTCTACTGGTCAGTAAGTTTAAAATAATAGGAATGGTATTGAAGGTTTGCACAGTCAAGTCCAAAAAAGGCGAAAAAAAAAAAAACATATATATGAGACACAGAAGTCTGACAGGCCTCAGTCTGGCTTCATAACCACTATGAATTCGTATTCATGATTACCATGAATTAAGCAAGATTTAGTCATAGAACAAAAGAGTTTGTCGGCTCGAATGTTGAACATGTTTAGGTCTGTGTTCAGTAGTTGGACATCGAAAAAGTTAATGTTAGTTGTACTTGCGTCCTTTAAGAGGATGTTCTTATAATTTTTTATGCTCTCTTTTAAACCATTTTAACTTTGTTTTGCTCTTTAGTGTTGTCTTTCTGATTTATCTGTTATATTTAACTGTATAATATCTTTATCTGCACTGGGAACTTATTTGTGTAAAATCTAAAAATCTAAAAACAGGCCTAGGTGGTGTAGTTTTCTCGTGTGACGAAAACTTGCATAAAGGCCGTAATTAAATGGAATGAAATTAAATCAAGGCTATTGAAATGTGTTACCTTGCATGGACTCATTTTTAATAGCAGGATTCAAAGCGACATTATCTGTAGAACGATTGCAAGAAAGATTCGGGCTTGCGAGACCAGTAAGATGTGCGCGTTATTGACCAAGCATGAGATCAAGATGACTTCAAATTGCCAAGTTCTTTTTCTTGCGTCTTTATTGACCGAGTTGCGAAGTCATGGTCCATAGAAATGTGTTGTTCCAGAAAATGTCCCTACCCCCAACACGGACACTTTTGCTTCAAACCCCTTCCAATTCCAGGGGGTGCTTGTCATAACCCATTAGCCGTTGGAATTTCCGTGATTTTTCATCTTGGTTGGGTACCATCTGGAGAGAATATTTCCCTTTAAAATGCTGTTGTTCTATACTTGCGAAATATAATTGTTTCTGCGATAAAGTGAGAAAAAAATCTCTGTAATAATGTTAATTGATACATATTTGGTCTTTCTTAGCTAATAACTAATAGTAAGCCACT